TCCCTGTTGTACTGTGAATTAAAATGTAACAACGTGGGCTAGATTCACTGTTGAACTTAATTACTTTGTGTCTTTCGAATGATTGCCAGAAACCTTACAGGTGCAGGTAGATTTACTATCTGAACATGAACTTTGTCTTTTTGATAAAGGGTCAAGTATGGATGGTGGAAGAAAGGAGTTGAAAGAATAAAAAAATGAAAACAAAAAGTTGCCACGAGGAGTGGACAAATAAATAATTTAAAAAGGTTGTGTAACTGACAGCCAGGCTGCGGGAGAAAGGAATTCCTTTCTGGCTCATAGCGGAGACACTGCTGGACATTTTTCTAAAGTCATCTTGGACGCCTGCCAAGTTAACCTTGTGCTAATGCTATTTAATAAAATGAATCATGCCCTTGTGCATTTTCCTGGGTGTTGGCAGGGAGACTGCCTCAAGAATGCAAGTTTGATTCAAACCAGAGAGAGTATGCAGCAAGCATTTCTGCTTACTCGCAGACCCTAATGTGACTGTGGCATTTGTGTGCCTATGTGGATCATCTAATCTGCAAAGATGGCATTAATATAGAGAACAGGAATCCCTTCACAGTGTTCACAAATGGTAGTTGAGGAAACAAAACCACAACTGTCAGTGGCTGAGGTCTGTAGAGTAAGCCATATTTTTTCCATCTTGATGGTCCTCTCAAGCATTTCAGCTGCTAACAAAACTGGTGACCACAGCTGAATGAGGAACACCAGAGAGTCTAAGTCCATCCCTTCCACTTCCGCCCCATGGGACATTCTTTGGAAAAAATATGTACGGCGAGAGACAACACATTTTTTATCCCGTTTGAATTGTGCCCTGAATAACACATATGAAGTCTGTCAGTGTAAAAGATTATTTTGTCCGTCAAGAAAGTTGCAGTTTGTCATAAAACTAGTTAAGGCTGCGTTCCAGTCACAATTGGAGGTTCGAATTTCCCACTTAAAGTTTCTGACTTCCGATCTCAAAGCGTTCAAGGTGCATGAAGCCAAACGTGAATGAAAACCATGGCCGACTGTAACCAACTGATGTTTCTTTATCAAGTGTACACAGCTGAACCCTTAACAGTCCCCTTGCTGTTAATTAAATAGATAGCAGTTTTAATGAAAATGAGTGACATAAACTGGCTTTACGTCTTTACGTCTAGATACCTCCATTGGTAACCTGCAAAAGTCAGTAAATGTTGAATATTTCCTAACGTTTTCACATTTTTTTTTGCATTTTTAATGCTTTGCTGAATAACTTTAGTGCTGAGAAGATGACTTTCAGAGATTGTTTACCGTAACCATCAACCTAATAACACTGGCGACATACATGTTGACATCAATTTACACACAGAACAGGTTTTACAATATGATAGTATTTATTATGTTAATTAAATACAAGCAAATATGCTTTATGTTGCCTTTTAGTTGATCTACTACGCTTCCATGGGTGCTGCCATGTGATGTCAGACAACTGCTTCTTAATAAAGTCGGGGTGGACGGATTTCCGAGATGGATTTGCCCCAAGTTCACAAGTAGGAACTCAGACTATAATTGGCTGTCCGTTGTACTTTTTCTAATTGGATTATCCATGTGATGCGTTCAATCCAACAACTCTTGGTCCTTCATCACATCATCCACAAAAGTTATGTTAGCTTCAGTCATTGAGTGAAAAAGACTTCAGATACGCAGACTTTCGTATTTGTGGTCTTTCTAATTCCGTCTTGATGCGTTGATACTTAAAACAGTTTTACAACGAACTGCAACTTTCTTGACATGCATATGTATATTTTAAATTAATAAACATCACATGTGTAATTCAGGGGCACAATTCAAACAGAATCAAACATTTTGTTGTCTGTCGCCAGTGACTATTGTATAAATGATTTCCTATGGTGGTTAATCAGAAGCCTCTTTATGGCTTCCCTAGCAGAACTTGCACAAGCATTCATAAGGCACAAAACCAGTTGTAAGCTGACTCTTTTATCAAAAATGTGTAGGTGCGTGCGTGTGTGTGTGTGTGTGTCTGTCTGTGGCAGGAAAGCAAACATCGCAATTGGATGATTCATAGAGGGTCACGCTTGAAAGAAAACAAGAGGGCAACTCTTAAGCAAAGCCCATCCACCTCTTGAGATATGTCGCAACATCATATCTGTGGAGCTGTCACCACAAAGGAAAACTTGCCGAGTGGTAAGCACTCATAAAGAAAAGCCACTCCAGATGTTTCTTTTTGTGGTAAAACAGAGACCAATGGAGAGAAGCACAGACTAAAAACAGTAACAGACAATTAGTGTCAGACCATATCCACACCAATGTGGATGAATCATAAACGCCAACACTGAAACACCACAAGAGAAGAGTTTAATTCTCCTCTATTGGGTAATAACCAATTGAGCAAGCAGCTTTGGGTCATAAATCAGCATTTACACGGTTTTTTCCACTGACACTGAAAAGCTGTTTTTAAATTCTACTACTTTTGAGGGTGTTAGCTTAGCGTGGATGGAACAAATGTGTTTTCTTAAAGTGTGGGTAAATGGTTGAAGTACCTGAGTCAATATACTGCATACTGCTCATAAATGTATAGCATCACTTCCATTGGAAAAGTAGCCCTTCTGAGTGGCCTTTCCCATCCTGAAAAATGACACGATATAGTATGGTGACTACACCATGAGCCTCAAAATAAAGGAACTGAAAAACAGCCATGGGTTCAGTAGGTTTTTACAGTGCATCAGCATTTGGAACAATGTGGTGTTTTACCCCTGTGTGTGATCAGAAACAAGTGCATTTGGGGTAAACTATTGATGTGCATCCTTATAGCTCAATTCTTAACATGCATGCTCAAAGTCCCAACCAGAGTACTAGCAAGTATAACTGTAGAATATTAATACATGCCTGTACACACTTTTGTATTCTTTGTAAGCAACAGGAGAGCTAACCTCAGCTCATGATGTAAAAGAACCACGAGGCTGGGCTGTTCCATCTCCAGATTATTTTTCTCTGTCATATGGACTGTGGTTTACCAGGGCACCCCACATTACACCCTATGAATAAAAGCATGCTTGTGGTTCACAATAGAGCTTCCCTGCTCCCCGAGAAGGGGGAAGGGCATTGCATTCCTCTGCTGACCTCCTGTTTGCAGCAGATATTAAACAATAACTGGTGCCTGTAATGTGCTGTCACCCTCCGCGGCCAGCCATCAAAAAGACATTAAACAGTCTGATCTTTGCAGTATATTCACAACAAGGAACATGTGAAGGCAGAGAAGATCTGCTTCGTCTGTGTTTTTGTTTGGAGAGGTGGGTGAGAAATGAAGACTGGCATTTCAGGAGAGCATAACAATGTGGTTATTCAATTTGAGTGACAACCCCAGGAGACTGATGCTGACTGGACGCCTGCAACATTTAATCTGGGTAACCGCACATATATCATTTAACTTACTTCTCCAGGGAAAGTGCGGTGTAAGCCTACTGGAAATTCAGCTGCTTAAAGGAAATCTCACTCTTTGATTGAGTGTTAGGCTAATACCATACTGCAGATGGTAGATGGCACTTTTTATCTTTTTTTTTTTTTAGAATAGCAAGTCCACATGGTTCATTTAGTGATTCGTGATCATGATTCAGTACTTCTCCAGACTCCTTCAAGTCCTAATGTGGGTCATAAATCCTGGCTTAAAACAGAGTTAACTTTCCTTTGTCTTCTAGTATTGAACATTGTAAAGTGCAGGGTGTTGCTTCAAGGAGATGCTAGAGGGGTGGGGGATGGATGAGGAAACGCACGTGCGGCCCTTGCCAAAGAAAGTGTGACATGGAGGAAGGGGCCTCATGATGGCAACAACTTCCGAACATCTGCATCAGCTGTGTGAGGGCGCACTCACTATCAGTAAGCGCTGCATGCTTTCCGCACATTGCCAACAGAAACAGAGGTTGGCACTGCTGCTTCTGGCCCCATGCACACTACTCCATTTTTGTTTAAAAATGGAGTTTTAAAATGAATATGATCTCCGTCCATACTGGCATTTTAGCTGGGTATCAGAGTTGTTCTGTCTACATTAAAACTAGTGGCCGTTCACGTATACTGGGCATGCATGCCGGTTTAAACCTGAAGCAGATGGTCTATTCCGTAGTTACAGAAGATTTGGCGAAAGAATAAAGTAATGTAGACGTAGAACCGCACCAGATTTTATTTTGCATGGACCAATAACAAGGTGGGACTGTTACTGAATGTAACACGGGAGTTAAAAGCAGCTGTGGTGGCGGAAAACAGACTGGGAGTCCTCGCAAGTAACACTTACAGTACAAGTCTGTAAGTGTTATTTGCACGGTACAAAATGTTTTAATAAAAATACCAAATCAAAAACTCTGTCAGTAGCATTGTGTCTATACATTGCATGACTTAAAAGACCCAATCAGAGAGCCAAGTGTGAGCGTCTGCATCATCGTTTCTATAGTCCTCTTTTTTGCCCATCCACACTAAAACACTAGCCAAAGTTTTAAAACGGAAAACGGAAAAAAAGGTCTCCCTTTGAAAATTTAAATGCCTTAGTGTGGATGGGGCCTGACAGGCCACACAAACAGTGTGACTTCTGTTATGTTATGGTCACCTGCTTTAAGGAATGCGGGCAGAGATGAGGGATCTGCAGGTTGTAACATGAAGCACCATTAAATGAGTTGTTTGTTCTGTTGGTAACAATTTAAGTGCTTTGCATTGTGCATTTGCAGTTGTGAATATCAAGTACTAACGAAGTGATATTTATTCTTCTCTCTGAATCCTTCTGGTGTCACATGCAGTGACTCCAGAGGTTGTTTTTTTTGTTTTAATTATCAGTAGCTGAGTCCAGGGTAAAGTTTAAACCGAAAGAGAGGCAAAGATTGCATCAGGAATGCTGGCAGATGATCGTTTTCCTCCACTCTGCGCACAGTGCGCAGACAGGGGGTGGGGTGCCCGGCTAAAACTGGGAGGAGAAAAAGGGGGGGATTTGGGAATATTCTTTGTCCTCACCCCGCAGTGTAACACACAACTGGCGAAGGACGCTGGCTCCTCGAAGCGAGAAACAACTGAATGGCTTGATATTAGAGCGGGAGGGCTTTCTTTTTATTAAAAGAAAACGAAGAAAAAGCTGTAGAAATACGAGACAACTTCCAGGAGCCGTTGGTGCGGAAGCGGAGGACCCAAAAATCACATCTGAAGGTAAAATAGCCCACCACGCAAACAAGTCGCGGTAACGCAGCCGCGGCAGCATCACCACGTAGACGTGTGGCTGTGGCTAACAATAGTGCGTTTGGCTCAAGTTTTAGCTTTAACGGTTTCGCCGGAGGAATAGTGAAGTCTTGTGAAAGCTGCTAATGTAATTCCGGCGTTTTAGGAACGTGTTCTCAATACCGCAGTCGGGGAAATGTAACGTTAGTGTTTTTAAGGCTAACTTAAGTTTACGCGCACATGCTGGCAGCAGGCAGCGCTAATTAAAGCACGTAAAGTGGTCGCATGGGTGTTTTTTATTTTAATTTACGGTATATTGACGCCAAAGTGGTGTCGTTTGCGCCACATTCCGTTATATTTCTGCTGGTATGCAGAATGTTCTGGTAATTTTATCTGCCATCCTGACTGCGGTGTCTCGACTGAATTTGGTGATGGGAAGAACGCGCAGGAGTCGTGCCTTGTGTCTCTCTCTTCCCCCCCACCCCGTTTACAAAACCTCTTATCCTGGAAAATAGCTGTATTCATAGCTTACTTTGCCCAAACAATGTGGCGCAACCATACGGTCACACCATTGACTTGAGCTCGTGGAAGCGTGTGTAGCTCCGCGGTGACGTCGTGTCCCGTTAGGCACGAGGAGGATATTTCATTTCTTTTTCTCTTTTTTTTGTCTTATGCTCAGTGCAAATGGGATTAGTTTTAATGTTTCACGCTGTAGTGTTTAAATAAGAACATGGTCTACGCCTTGTGTTACTTCAGATTAGTCTTCATATTTTATCTCCTCACCAACCTCAGTTTTCAATCCAGTTTTTATGGTATTATTAGTATTATTATGGTTCATGGTGATACAAAGGGCGGTTCAGTTAAATTTTTCCCCCCTCTAGTCACTCTCAGTTTGACTCATATTCTGGTTATTGTTGGCCCTTTCCTTCCCATGCCCAGGGCCTCTAAGCTTTAGGGCTCTGGGATAAAGGGGGGACAAACCATAACTAGCCTCCCAGATGTGAGAGTCACAAAAGCCTCTCTGTTCTGGCAGGCTCAGTCACTGTGGAAACTCTGCTCCTTTACTGTGCTCCTTTTTATGAAAAGCAGGCTGTTTTCTTTGAAGTGCTACAGATAGGCTGCTTGAGTAGATAGGACATGGAGGTGGTATGTATTGCAGAGGCTTTTTGTTTTTTATTTGGGAATACTCAAGATGTAAACATTAAAGAAGCTCTCAGAATTAGGAGTCACTTAAGGGGTGGGCGATATGGCCAAAGTCTTTTTATCACATTATGTAATCTTATAATATGATAAATCCTCAAATTTGAGTTGTGTTTTTTTTTTTAATTGGAACTTGCAAACAAAAACAACTCCTGCTCTGTATTTTAGAGCCTGACCGATATGGGTTTTTGGGGGCCGATATTAAAGTGAAAAAGAGCCGATATTTTGATTTCAAGAATGATTTGGATAGTAGACCCCTTTACTGTATAAACTACACTTAGAACAAGCTGATATTGAAAGCTGGTGTTGAAGTGGGCTATAAAACCTTTTCCTAAATGGATTATGTTAATAACATCGATTACAGTCTCAAAGTGAACATGTAAATATTTGCTACTGGAAGGTGCAACTTTTTCAGCCGTCTGTAAACGAGAGAGTGAGAGAGAATAAGCATGTGTATTTCACTTTACATATAATCTGCCATAATTTCAGTGGAGCACGTTCACATCTAGTCCATCCCTTTACCGGCACTCTTTAATTCTAACCAAAGCTATTTAACCACCATCAGTATAAATCATGCCGTCTAGGATACAGTGAGCTGCTGTTGAATACATCTAATACTACAGGAATGTCTCCAACGAGGACCTGCAACTTTGAGATTTAATTTAACTAACGTCACATAAAGAGGAGCTACAGGAAGCCGTGTTAGATTCTTGTTCAGCTCATGTTTATTTACATTTCCGCTCTGGTTTAAGACACGCCGACTAGCTGCAGACAGGCGGCTCGCAGATATATTTAGAATACGTCAAACTATAGTTTAACGGCTCGTTAACGTTGGCGCTCCTCCACTGATTAACGCGGCATTAGCTTTGTGGCTAATTTAGCAACGGGCAGCATGAGCTGCTGTAGCTAGAATATTTAGAAGTGATGAACTAGGGACAAATGTGGACTGTTCGCTAGAACTGCCACACAGTTTGAAATGTGCAGTTACGTCTGTCAGCAGCTTTCAACACCCAACTACTGTAACATTAAACTGCGGTGAGATGGCATAAAAACGGGAGGGTTAGCAAGTCATGAATGTTTTCAGGAGAGAAGTGACTGGGTCTGTATTTTATTATAATTATTAAAGTCATGTCATTAACTTGACAAAAGACAGACTCACCGCTCTCAATTTCATTTCTAAATGCTGCGTGTAAACTCCGGTCAGCTGATTGTTTTCTTCTGTGGTTTTTGTGGTGAGGCAGTGTAGTTAACAGGGGAGCTGCAGCTGGTCGCCGTCTAGTGGGCAAACTATGCAACACCATGACATGAGTGAAGGATCTGACTAGGTTTCTTTTTTAATAGTCATATCTGCTTTTATAAACGGCCGATGCCAATTAAATGCAATTGGCTCTACTGTATTTACAATTTCACTCTCCTCCATGTTTTCTCGTTACTGTGTTCTTCTGCAGTGGTTGGCAAACCAACTTGGACGTACGTTACCCCCCACCAACCATCTCTCTCGCACCACATGAGAACGCGGTAATCAGTCCCGTAGCTTCCCAAGTCCATGGAGGTTTAAAGAGAATCTGATACAACGTCGGTAGCGGTGCATGAAGCCAAAAAAGTTTGGGCTCCAACACAGGAAGTGTGATGCGCTTTGAGGGGCAATTTGACAAACCTTGTTTTGTTAAAGAAGCAGCTGTAAAACAGTGGATAATTTTTATTTGGGAGAGTCACAACCCCAAAATAACTCACTAACATTTGGAAAATGTTTGGAAAAGTCTAGAATAGCCACAGGATTAAATAATTTTTACCTTGTGAGATCTGTCAAGAATCCAGCCCTGATTTGCTACATAGCTAAATTTCACCTGTGTAGACATTTCTATCGTTGCACAGTATATACAGTCATATCGACCTACCCTGAGGCATACCGATGTCAACTTATTGCAGACATGTAGGTCAGTAAGTGACAATATGGTACAGTAACGTTTTAAGGTAGAACATATATTGGTTTAAAAAAATTAAGCCAAATTTTGTATTAAAATATATTAACAATGCTTGTTTTGGTGTGAAAAATTTATATCCCTTAAAACATCATGGTCAGTTTTTAAACTAACACATCAATATTGGCATCAGCCTCCACAATCCAGTGTTGGTTGGGCTGTAGCTAGTAGTCTTTAATGTCTGAAAGTGACTTGGTTGAGGTGCATCTGTAGCCACTGAATTTGTATTCAAGCTTAAATCTGTTACTTTTTGGCACATTGTTGTTCTCTGTGCCTTTTTACTTGTACTTGACATGATGTTTAAATAGCATCTAACGTCAACATTTTCCTTATGTTTTGTCTGGTGTGGTTAAATGGATCCTCAAAGTGCAATTTATACTTCTGAGTCAAATCAACGGCGTAGGCTACGGGGCTACGCAGAGGCTACGCCGTCGCCTGACGTGCACCTCCTCAAAAATGTAACTATACGTCGAGTCGACACGGACGGTAAGCTCTGTGATTGGTCGGCTGGGTAGCCTCGCGATGCCTCCGAGCCGATCGGAAGTACCCTGCGCTTTTGAAGTAACATTTACTAGCGGCCAAAACGGCGGCTGTAACACAGTGATTCAATATATTTGACCGTCGCAACCCGAGCGAAATGACTCGTTCCGAATGTGATCGGACAGTAACATTTGAAAAGGCTACACCAGCTGCACGTTTACAATTTTACCCCCATTTACGTTAGCGGAATGCTAAACCGGAAGTTAGCCTGCTCGGCCGGCAAAAGTCAACACAGTGGACGCTGTAGCGCTACTCCCGACTAGCGTTTGGAGGTGTTGCAGAATGACGGACACACCTACGCACAAGTATAAATGCATGTCTATGTGCGTAGGTACTCATGTAGACCCTACGCAGGAGTATAAATGGGCCTTAAGAGCCATTAAGGACAGATTAGCTAGCAAAGTGTACTGCCTACCAGTTCTGTAATGTTCTTTATTTCTTGGTGTGAATATAAAACTACAAAAACAGTAGAAAAACACAGCTGACAGCTCAGGTTGAACAGACTTAGTTTGCATCGTCGGCGAGATTGCACGTTGCTTGCTACCATTAGCAATGAGGCATCGCAGAATAACGACACATACACTTCAGGTCCAACCATGTGCCAGTCTTAAAATCTAACAACACTTTACTGTGGAGATGACAAAAAGAGTTGCAGATTTGAGCTTTAACTTTAGATTGAAAGTGTCTGATTATCTAGTTCTGTGCAGGGGTTAGATGGTTTTTAGCAAGTTTGACACTCACACAGACACTTGCATGTGAGGCGGTGGTTTTTCTCTGCCTCTTAGCTCTGACAGTAGCTTGGGGGCAACTCCCAACTGTTAACCTAGATTACAAGCAGCAAAGTATGCTGTTCTATTCCTTACATGTTTGTTCCTTGCGTCTCTTGCAGCCTGAGAGAAGAGCAACGTAGCTTACATTTTAGGTAACTGACACATATGACCAATCTGATGTGATTCCAATAACACAAAGCTTTGATTTCCCAGGAAAACGGTTTGAGGTGATGCTCATTGTTCCTCTGCACGCATTTCCAGTGTAAAACCACATACCTCCAATGAGGAGAGGCTTTTCTCAGGTGTTACTGCCGAGGAAGGATTATAAAAATTGCAACACCATAAAAACAGTGAATAAACATGGGCAACCATGAAAGGGGACTTTTGTGGAGAAACATGCAGGAATTTTTTTCACCGCATACTGACCTCATACAATCTCTCTGCTTGGAAATGCAGATTACAAGCAGAATATGAACTCATAATCACAATCTAGTCAGAGAGTCTGATAGAGCAGCCACTGGGTCAATGATGAATGTGTGTTCTTATTCAAGTCTCTCTCTCTCTCTCTAAAGCTGATTATTCATCTGAGTGCCAAGTGCTGCTTCACAACTTTATTCTAACTCTTTATTTATCTAAGGAGAGTGTCCTCTAACCGTAACATCACACAGTACTCCCATTCACACCTGGGACACCAAAACCCATTCTTAAGGATCTGTTCTGGAGCGCTTTGCAGTCTTGTATCATCTGTAAAGGCCTTTTAGTGCTAGTTGGTATGAGATTGTTAGACAGTACCCTTTGATTGAGCTATTTAATTTACCTTTTTATTAAACCTGCAAGTTAAAGATTAGTTCCCCATCCTTACCTGAAGTAGTGTCCAGGCCAATATTAAGAAAATAAGTTACATACCGATAGAAAATATGTTCAACCTTTAATTGATTTCATTGAAATAGGTCTGAAGCCTAAATCTTGGTAAAAGCCTGGTAGTTTATAGTGTTGGATAATTACTCAGAAGTTGTTATGAGATTGGTCACAGATGGTGTGAAACCACAGGACCTCTTCACTGCCTCTTTAGTGTGTTTAACTATCGGCTCTTGACTCTGTTTTGGCAATCATAGTCCAGTTATTAAACCGGGACTACCACCAAGTGATTGTGGCATGGGTTTACGGTATGTGTAAAGTGTTACAGTGAGACTAGAATTATCGACTACTGCAGCATTTAACATTTGGTGGTCAATGAAGGGACAGCCTTGAGGAAATGCTTCAGTTTGCAAATGTTATGTCTTTATAAATTTTGGATGTTTGCCCGTACTTTCAGACATTTAGTTACGAATTTGTTGTTGACTTGTATGCTTTGACTCTGAAAGGCAGAGCTCGTCAGTCAGGTTAACAGTCTGGGTATGGTTGCATAATTTGGCGATAGCATCTCGTGAGACCTTCTCTGGGATCTGTGCATGCCCGTAGTCATGGCAGTGAGGCTTGGTTTGGGATTTCTCAATTTCTAACACTGACACAATAGCTTCACCTTGTGGCTATAAGTTGCAAAGACACTGAGAGTTGAGATGAACAGTTCTGTGATGCAGTGTGTCATTATCACTCACGTTTTTATTCTGATTACTGGTTGTTTTAGAGTAATTCCGGTTTAAGTAGTTGCCTTGATTTATGACCAAATGACTCTAATCTGTTAATTCTCCGTCCCGTAAAATGAAAAATGTGTTCCATAAATTCTGTCTTGATGATTTGGGAATTGCTCTTATATATTTTTTTTTTCAGTGACCACTAAATATAACATTTCTTTTATGCCTAATGGCAGATGCAATTAATACAACACTTAAATTGTCACTTATTTTTCTCCGTAGGTTTGAGAGGATCCATCCTGTTCCAGAGGCAAAATGAGCTGGAGCTTCCTTACACGTCTGTTGGACGAGATTTCCAACCACTCCACCTTCGTGGGCAAAATCTGGCTCACTCTTCTCATTGTCTTTCGCATCGTGCTGACAGCTGTTGGGGCGAGTCAATCTACTATGATGAACAGAGTAAATTTGTGTGTAACACACAGCAACCTGGTTGTGAGAATGTGTGCTATGACGCATTTGCGCCGCTATCACACATTCGCTTCTGGGTGTTTCAGGTGATTATGATCACCACCCCCACCATCATGTACCTTGGCTTTGCTATGCATAAGATTGCCCGCATGGACGACGATGACTACCGGCCACGGGGCAGGAAGAGGATGCCGATAGTGAGCCGTGGGGCTAACCGGGACTACGAGGAAGCGGAGGATAATGGGGAGGAGGACCCCATGATCCTGGAGGAGATTGAGCCAGAAAAGGAAAAGGAAGTTGTGGAGAAGCCCAGTAAAAAGCATGATGGACGGCGTCGCATAAAGCGCGATGGCCTGATGAAGGTTTACGTGTTTCAGCTGCTGTCGCGTGCCATCTTTGAGGCCTCGTTCCTGTTCGGGCAGTATGTCCTTTATGGGCTGGAAGTGGTACCGTCGTATGTATGCACACGCTCTCCTTGTCCGCATACAGTGGATTGCTTCGTCTCTCGCCCTACAGAGAAAACAATCTTCCTGCTCATCATGTATGCAGTCAGCTCCTTGTGTCTGCTCTTCACCATATTGGAGATCCTTCACCTTGGCATCAGCGGTATTCGGGACTGCTTTTGCACACCACGGCCTCGACCTCCGACCCCCCGTCATGCAGCTCTGGCCAGCCACAGATCCTCCGTATCCCGCCAGCCCTCCGCCCCTCCGGGTTACCACACAGCTCTGAAGAAGGACCCATCGGGGAAGATGGGCTTCAGGGACAACCTGGGAGACTCGGGTCGCGAGTCTTTCGGGGACGAGGCTTCATCAAGGGAGCTGGAGAGGCTGCGTCGACACCTTAAACTGGCCCAACAGCATCTGGATCTGGCTTACCAGAACGAGGAGGGCAGCCCGTCACGCAGCAGCAGCCCAGAGTCCAACGGCACCGCAGTTGAGCAGAACAGATTAAACTTTGCCCAGGAGAAGCAGAGCAGCACGTGTGAGAAAGGTGAGGCTTCCCATCCACAACTTTGTACTTTTGATTCTATCTTCTAATTTGTAGCTGTGATCTTTACGAAATGCTTTTCTCTGACATTGACGCATTTCCTCTCTTCACAGGTCTCCGTGCATAGGTTCTCAGCAGCCCAGCTGACACAGTAGATTCAAATTCACATTAGGATCAGTGAGCGGACATAAGGGAATCAAGCGCGTGTGTGTGTGTGTGTGTGTGTGTTTGTGTTTGTGACATGAATATGCTTGAGGTGGATGAAGTCAGCCCAAGCTTTCCAGTGTTACGGCCAAACGAGGAGGAGAATGGTCATCTCAACCCAGCAATACTTGAGACACCAGCCTGTCTGAAGATCCAAAGTGCTTACAAACTACCGTCGCACAGCAAGAACGGTTAAGGTTAAAGTGTATTTCTCCCTCAGGGCAGCTATTGTGTGTTATTTTTTTTTTTTGTTTTGTTTTTCTTATTACGAGACTTGGAGTTATTATTCAGAGGTTGTCCTCTGGAGTTCAGTGAGTGCATCTCAAATTTGCCTTAGACTAAACTGGAACTCTGTTTTATGGTATTTTGTAATTAAGTAAGGCCAAGCCAGTTGTAGAGCAAAAAAAAAACATGTTTAAACTGTAAGAAACTTGGTGTGGAAGTGAATCAGTGAGCGAGTGTTTGTTGATGCGAACAAAAGGTTAACGGACAAGGCACCACTCATAAAAGAAAAGGTACTGGAGTTATTGTCATGCTAAAGTGTTTGATGTGTTAATGTTCATACAAAGGTTTCTTTGTGTGTCATTTCATTTAGTTAAATGGTTTTGACAATGTTGGCGCTGCACCAGTCAACATTCCCAAGTCTGGTGCCTTGATGGTAACTGGAACACACTTGGGGTGCCTTTGTCCAAAGGAATAAACAAACCTGGGTAATGCTTGAAAAACATGTAACTCTTGATGTTGTCTTTAATTGTTTAAATGTGTATTTGATACTGGTTTTTTTTTTTTTTGTTATTTTTCTATTAGTTTTAAGTATTTTGGTATTGCGAAGAGGCTCTTGTCACTGTGGCTTAATTTTTCGTGGCTTATTTTTTCATTTTAAAAGAAATGACATTCACTGCTGTCTTAGCTCCCTGAAGCCCAATTAAATACATGGACTGGTGCAAATGGTTTGTTAAAATTTGATTTCGAGAAAATAAATACATTTTATTAAATACTAACCTACAGCTTTTATTTACACATCAGCTATGACCATTAAAGCATCCCTTTCTCTGTACAGACCCAAATGTATTTGCATCTGTTGGTTAAATAGGAGATTATACTCTGTCACGTTCATGCTCCATGTCTGCTGATTTTTGGATACTTTTTTATTACTGTTCCAGCGTATCAATGAGGGTTGTAAACAATTTAATCATTTCAATGTGAATTCAACGCCTTGAATGCACTCTGCTAAGATGCCATCTTTTGTATTCTGAATCGTATCCACAGTGCCATTAATGCCTACTCAAATATTGTCATCGAGTTATTTTTGAGCAATGCTTTTTGTACTTTTTATACTTTTTTGTATTGATAGTACTTTGTGGTTAGTTTTTATAATAAATTTTTTCAACAAATTGTTTTGTATTGTTGTGTTACTTGCTTTGAATGGTCAAATTGTCCACTTTCAATTGTAGTTAAATACTTGAAGTCTGTTCAATTAAAGTAAAAGCAAACAAAACAATCTAGTGGGGAAAAGTCAGCCAATTCCTAATACCTTATTTTTATGAACTTGCATACGCAAATAACCTTACTGTATTTGGGGGGGATAAAATCTACTTTAATCTCAGGGTGAATATCTTCATTTGGATGGAGAGCACATTATTAACAACTACTGCCCTTCAAGAGGCTCTCACTGGTTTTGTCACTTGACTCTGACTGCATTTTGAAACGGAGTTAATCTGGCACTACAGGGTTTAAAACCTATCTGTAAAGTTCAACCTACCAGCTTAGGTTCAGCTAAACTATAGTTAAACTGGATAAATTATGATCTGTCCTTTTCATTCAGACAAGTGTCACTTGTTCTTTTAGTTCAGTTTCCTTGGAAAATTCTAGTTTAGCTTTCTTGTTTTAGACTTTGAAGTAGATGTCATCTTTATATGTATATAATACATTACATTAATAGGGCAATATGTTTCCTTCATAGGATGGTGTGATGACCCTGGGGAGTATACCAGGCTGCCGCTAGGCCAGCAGCACATCTGTATTTCAGATGGCTGCAGACCATGCTGTGGTCTCTCTCGACATGCTCACCATTACAGGACACAGCAAAAGTAATGACAGAGCTGCAGCCTCCAAATGTTTAACAGAAAGTTGACTTTTTCTAAGATACATAAATTTGTCACTGAGACCACTGATGGTAAGTAATAGACCTTATATGGCATTAATGACAAACAAAACAGGCTTATGCAAGTCAGAATTTCATGCATTGTGCAAGACTTTGTTTCACAATGTAAGATAAAGTAACAGCACTTCTCATTGTAGAAAAAGAAGTGTGTAAGAATTATCTGAGAGCATCTGTCATTGAGTCTGAACAGTAACACAATGATGGTGAGAAGATGCTATCATTTGTCATATTGATGCATTAAGCAAGTCATTAAATATTTCACTGGGTTAAATGAAGTGAAAGACATAAGTAATTTAATTTGTGTTTTACTTTTAACGACATCTTGGGATTCACTGCAGTTTCCATTGTATTATACAGATACATATATTTTATCTCTAACTTTATTAACATGCAGGACGCTTTATACAATTGTATTTATATGACTATGCAGCTCAGACGTGTTGGACGTCTATTACAGCTCTGCATATACTTGCTATTAGAGCTTCCTCTCCATGTTTATAGATTCAACATGCAGTTTTTGGAATGTTTTTTTTTTTTGTTGTTTGCTTTAAAGAAGCAACAGGATGAACAGATAGCTCCAAATATTGCAACAATCAGTAGAGCGAATGTGGTGTTAAGTCCAGTCTCAGCATCACTGGCAGAGAGCTTCATTCCCAGGAAGCTCACAGTGTTGACAAGGGGAAGGGGTGTGATTGGTGCACTTGTTCCTGTGGAAAAGACACAGAGGATATCATATTCATTTTGAACCGATTGCTGACAGTAATTGTAAATCTAAACTATATTTCACGTCTTAAACGTGGGTACAAAATGTCATGCCCTGCTCCTGCAGTTAGGTCATGTGTTCAGTCCGCAACCACTTCCTGTTTTGTTTGAGTGACTCATCCAGTTTCAGGTCTTTGCCTGCCTCCGTGTATTGTGTAATTCCGTGTCCCTGCCCTAATGTGCTACACCTGTGCCTCATTGTCTCCCCTGTCCTAAATACCCATTTCCCATTTTTGTCAGATGCCAGTTTGTCTTGATCTCTTGTGTCAGTGTCCTAGCGACTCTCTAGTGTTTGCCTTCTAGCGTGTGTTTCTACCTTAGCCTTCCCTTCTGACCTCGACTTCTGCCTTGTGATTTTGGATTCTGTTGCATGAGATTTTTGGACTCTGTTCAATAAATCTGTTATTTGTGAACCATCTGGAGTCGTGTCTCATGAGTCCTTTACCACTGTGTGTTTGCCACTGATACTAACAAAATCCACTAGTCCACAAATCTAGTCTGTAGATTTATCCTAAATTCACCAAAAGTTAGCATTAGACAATGCCTCATTTGTATAAAAATTGTCTTAATGTAAGTAATCAAGTGGGAAAGTTTCATGATATTTATTAGTTAATTGTTTTTACCCTATTGATCTGCAGTTTCTTGCAAAATATGAAATTTTACAATACTTATCTTTAACGGCTGTTTTCTCAAAACCTTTGTCCCACAGTAGCACTTACACACACCAAACCTTGCAGTTTTATTTGTTTCTTTATTCTGAAGGTTTTTACAGAGGAGTTTGTTCCTATGTCATTCATAGCCTGATTTATATAACATTTTATTCCTAAAAACAAGTCAAAAATTGATTAAAAAGAAACAAATTCATGGCTGTTACGGAGATTTCTGTTCTGGAAATGTGTACTGTGGGCCTCCCCTCAAAAAATGTTAGAAAAAGGCGCCCCCTCACACTTCTGGTCTACTGGATCTAGCACAAATTGTGAGAGTGTTATCTTATCATCTAACTCTAAAGTGTCTCACTGTTAGTTTGGACCTTGACAAAGGTGGGGTTATTGTACATTACATAATCAAATTAATTAAAGTTCATCAGTCAGTTCGGGTATTTATAAAACGGGTAGCTCAAATGAAGCAATCTAATTGGTTCATAGTAGTGATATAATGAGCCAATGACGTTGAATTCCTTCGCACAGATCCTTATCACTCCGTGACAAACAGGGTTCGAGTTACAATCTGAGCTTCGTGGGCGTCTCACGCCCCATTTACACCTGGTATTAAATTGCGATCTGATCCTGATCTGATCGGCTACAGATCGGATTTAATGAGCGAGAGAGAGAGAGGCAGACATAAATCATTGCTTATTTCGTCATTCAAAATTTGCCTCTCAGACACACACACACAGCAGTCAACTACTTGCCCCAGATGTCTGCGATATTGCAACAAAGTTTAAAAGACTATTGCTCAAGGAGACACAATCCCGCCCTTTCTGGTAGGTATAATATTGAAGTGTTATTATTTTAGGCACTGCTGGCCGCCCGCACACAGTAGCAAGCATATTATCATATAGGTTCAAGTTGCCAAAGTCAATCTACTGACGCTGGACAGTTTGGCTGCACAACAAAGGGCATCGTGCAAATAGAGATAAATAAATACTTAAAGTAAAATAAAGTAAATAAATACTAATAATTCTAGCCTTGTATGTTGTCATCATGCGCTATGTAGCCTGGTGGGTCTACTTTCTGTATTCACAAAGAAATGTCTGTTGATGAAATAAAGTCAAATTGTATTGCGTCTGTTAGCCTACTTTATTTTTGCCACACTTGGTAGCCGTTTTATAAAAGCAATAGCTCACTTCAGGCCGTGATATACGCTGTGGGGTGTAATTGTGTTAATTGAGCAACTTACCTTCAGGCATGGGGTTCATGCACTCATGGGGTCCCAAGGTGGGGTCGGGGAATCCGTTGCAGTTGATGATTGTGGAGTAGAGGGCAACAGAAGTCTTGGCCACTCGAGGCAGTTTAGGGTCTGAGCGATTAACGTAGAAAAAGCCAAATCTCTCTGAAAAGCCAGTGGCCCACTCAAGGTTATCCATCAGTGTCCAAGCTGTGTAACCACGGATGTCCACATTATCTAGCAGGTAAGCTGGGACAAGAAAATGAACACCCTTAGGAATACAAATACACACTAAATTATTGTTTTATGAACTAGAAATTCAGTATCTTGGTTTGAACGTTATTCTGTGAAATTATGTGAACCATGGTACTGCATCCATTGAATAGAGCTACTTTACATGAGATATTCTACAACTGTTAGGACTTTGAAAAATTGTCATAGAAAGACCAAATGGAAGTTGTGGTTTGATACCTTTCAGCAGCTGGTTGATGTATTTTTCATAGTAGTAGCTTCTAAAAGTATCATTTAGGTCAATAGGACCCCGCTCTGAGATGCCATTTTCTGTGATGATAATAGGTGGATTTCCATACTCCTCCTTAATGAAGTTTAATATTCTCCTGAATCCAAACGGTGAGACCTTCAGCCAGGATGAACCTGAATCCAGCCAGGTACGATCAGCAATAGTTCCCGCACCCCTGAGAACATCAAATCAGTGAAATGGTTTCACAAAAAGTCGGTAAAATAAAGCAGAGAAAAGAATTAGAATTGATTACATGACTTGCTTCTCCCACTTGGTTAGGTACGTTGGTACTTGTTTACCTATCGGCATCATAGTGCTGAAGGTTTCCATACTCCACAGGGAATGCCAGGACAGTGGTATAATGGTTGAACCCAAAATAATCGTAGGTACCCTTAATCCTCTTAATCTCCTCAGATGTGAATTCAGGAAGCCTGGAGGAATTGTATTGAACTAATTAAATATACCTGATAAATGTAAAACAAGTTCCCATAATTTCTCTTTCAGGCTTAAATGTTTATATAATACCTAGATTTTGACAAACCAGCAGCTAAGCTTCGCTCTCGAATGATGGTCTTCATCATGTTGCTGTAGTCTCCATTAAATACAGGATGGGCAAACCAGCCAATGTAGAACTGCACAAAGAGATGCAAAACTATTGCCCTACATGTCTATTGTAAAATGTGAAAGGAATGTGTAAACAAAAGAGGAATCTGCAATAATACCCATGAAAGTATTTCCTTTTGTCTTTGTTTGTTTTTAAAGTACCTGCAGCACACGTCTTGCAGCATCAATGTCCTCCTGCTTATAGGGATTTCTGGGTTCTGACCAGTCCGAGTTGATGGTTATTGAGATAATTCCTTTCTGTGCGGCTCGATACTTGTCATTGTAGAGATGCCAGGCCTCAGCATGAGCTTTAAGCAGGTTGTGACCCACAATGTAGGGCAGAGTCCCCGGTCGGAAACTGATCCCTGGACACACACAAGGAGTAACACACATTTGATAGTCTGTTTAGCTGTATGCTTTGGGGCCTTGTGGTTAGAAAGGTCAAGATTGAGGATTAGTTTACAGAAAACATAATGTTTCAAAACACTCTGTTTTGAGACAGATTCTAATCTTTACCATAGCCACAATTTTAGTTCAGTCAGGACAACGTTCATCAAAGACTGATATTGTGGAGTTATATTTGGCGGTATGGCTCTGTTCTGGGATCTCCCTGCCCAGAGCACACCTCTCTGCCCTTCCACGAGCACACACATGCTGCTGAAAATGGCTGCTATCGCTGATATGCTGGAATGAGCAGAGCTTGACTTTGTCGCCTGCCTGACCTAACGCTATGCTTGATTTCCTCAATTATCTTATCACTTGGTAGCATAACATGGTGTGCAGTGGCAGAGCAGTATTGTTTTCTTCTTTTGACCAAACAAGTGAGCATACATTGGTGTGATGTAAAGTGTTAGATGAAGAACATTGGGTGAAAGAATACCTGGGGCAGCTGCTCCATAGCCATGGCCTATATTGGCTACATTGTACGGCTCATTAATGGTGATCCAGAATTTCACTTTGTGGCCAAGACGGCTAAAGATAAGGTCAGCATAATCCCTGAATTTGACGATAATAGTATCATTCTCCCAGCCCCCAATATCCTGCAGAGCTTGTGGAAGGTCCCAGTGGTAGAGAGTTATCTGACAGCAAAGGAAAAACAGCTAGCATTTACCGAATTTACCAACTTTCCATTGCAAATATTTGTTTGAGATGCTGCCAAGAATTACACTTACATGGGGTTGGATGTTTGCAGCTAGCAGTGCATCCACCAGCCTGTGGTAGTAGTTGAGTCCAGCCTCATTGATGTGCTTGGTGGTGCCATCAGGAAGCACCCTCGGCCAGGATATGGAGAAACGATAATGGGTCACCTTAAGTTGCTTCAATATAGCAACATCCTCTTCTACTTTATGGTAACTGTCGCAGGCTATGTCCCCATTGTCGTCATTAAACACTCGGAGAGGAGTGTGAGCAAACTTGTCCCAGATGCTGAGACCTTTTCCATCTGCTCTCCATCCCCCTTCAATCTGGAGACAGTAAATGTCAAATAGATGAAGAACTGAGTAAGGAATATATACACAATTCCCATACCTGGCATTAATGAAGGGGCTTCATCTAACCACTTACCTGGTATGATGCTGTTGCAGTACTCCAGATGAAATCTTTGCGGAAATGTCCATGAAGTAGCTTCTCATCATCTGGTGTAGGAAAACCATTGTCCTTTATGACTTGGTAGTAGAAATGAGCTGAGTACTTTGGTGTCCTCGGCCGGTTGGGGTTAGTGAAGTCTACATGGTGTAAACCGTATCCAACTTTGTACCCATTAAGCCACTCAAAAGAATCCATTAGAGATGTTGCTATGTATCCTTTCACCTTCACACCATCAATATCAAAAGCTGTTATTAAAACATACATGCACAAATAAACAATCAAGATTAAAAAGTTCTGGCAATCATTAATATGTATTTTAAAAATGTATGTATGTCAGTGCACCTTTAAGAACCTCATCAATAGGTCTTGTAATAAAATACTCTGGCAGAGTCATCCCAAGTTGTCTTTGATTCTGTAGCAACTCCATTCTCAGTGATGTAAATATCGGGATCTCCGTACTCCTCCTTGATCCAGTTGAGGAGCCTTCTCAAACCCCATGCTACGGCTCTCTGGTTACTGATGGCAGTAGTTGATGAATCATCTTCCTCTGCTTCTGACAAGTCACGGTCATAATCATAAGATTGGGGAGTAAGTCTCAATGTAGCATGGCGTGCAATCTTTGTAGTGTAATGATTTACACAGAACATGTCAGCAGTTCCCTTGATGAAACTCTTTTCTTCTTCAGTGAAGGACAGTAGTCTTGTCTCTGAAAGGCCTTGGAGTTCACTTTTGTTTCCAACTTGCCACTTCATTGCATCAGGATAGTCTCCATTCTTGAAAATGGGGTGTGCAAACCAACCCAGTTGGAACTGCATGGCACGGTCAGCGGCCACCACTTCACGGGGAACATTAACATCTTTAGGTTCAATCCAATCAGCATTGAGCGCAATGGACACTCGACCACCTTGCAATTTGCGATACTTATCACCATATGTGTGGTAAGCCTTGGCATGTGCTTTTATAAGGTTGTGTGCAACTCTGTATGGTGCAACTCCTGGATTTCTAACATTCGGTGGGATCTGTCCAAGTCCATACCCTGACCATGCAATTGTGTGAGGCTGGTTAAAGGTCATCCAAAATTTCACTCTGTCACCGAAGGTGGCAAAGCAAAAGTCGCAAAAGTAATTAAAAATGTTAATCATATCTACATTGTCCCAGCCACCAAGGTTTTGCAAAGCTTGAGGGAGGTCCCAGTGGTAGAGTGTCACCATAGGAGTGATGTTATATGCTAAAAGGCCATCAATGAGTCTATTGTAGTAGTCAACACCTTTCTGGTTCAAAGAGGTACTCTGACCATCAGGAAAGATCCTTGACCAGGACAAAGAGAATCTGTATGATTTAACCCTTAGAGCTCGCAGCATGTAGAGGTCTTCTTCAAGTCTGGTGTAGCTGTCGCAGGCCACATCTCCATTGACATTACCAGGAATACTGCCAGGTTTATGGGTGAATGTATCCCAGACACTGGGCCCCTTCCATCAGCATTCCAGCCACCTTCAATCTGGTAAGCTGAAGACGATACCCCCCAGCTGAAACCTTGTGGGAAAGTGCCATAGTGGTACACCTTTCTCTGGAATTTTGACTGGTGTGAGAATTTCTCCCAGACAACCTTTGATTTAGATGGAACCTCTGAGGGTGATAAAGCAGTTGGACGGGGGGTAAATTGCATCTCTGCCACTTTAAACACATCTCTTTTGTGTGAACCAAAGCCATTTAGCTTGATAACCTGAGAGTAGAAGTATGCAGATTGCTTTGGGCTTCTTGGCCTGTCTGCATCTTCAAAGTTGACATGGTGAAGACCAAATCTTTGGCTGTAGCCTTGTTTTCCCTCAAATCCATCCATGAGAGACTGCACTGTGAATCGCTGCACATCAACCCCATCTAAGAACATTGCTACAAAATGGACACAGAAACCATTAAAGTTGAAATTACTTCAACACTGTGCAAAAGGTGGTTTCCTATAAGAGAAATTCTTACTAACCTTTCAGGGCCTCATTGATGTAACTCTTCATGTACTCTATTCTACTGATGTCATTGAGAGTCTCTCCTCTGTACTGAGTAGGCATACCGTTCCCAGTTATGTGGATAGGCACTTTGGTAACATTCAAGTACTCTGTGGAAATGTAGTTTAGAAGTCTTCTAAGTCCCCAGGGTGTAGAATAGATCCAGTCAGATGCTGTAGAGGACCATGATGGGTCCACATGTGCCTGGTAGTCGCCCACCCCCTGAGGACCAGGGGTGCAGCCACCATCACTGTTATTAACCAACCGGGAAGTATAGTGGTTTAATCCCAAAAAGTCAGCTGTACCACGGATCCTCTACTCTCTTCAGCTGTGAAAACTGGAAGTCTTGCAGACTCAGAATGGGGACACTTATTTCTTTTCTGTTCTATCTGAGTCTTGAGTGTTGCAGGATAATCCCCATCTACAAATATGGGATGTGCAAACCAGCCCAGCATGAACTGCAGATAGCGATCTGCAGCAACTATGTCTTCAGGTCTGGAGGGGTCCATGGGCTCAGCCCAGTCAGAGTTCAATGCAATGCCCACTTTCCCTCCTTGTGTCAACCTGTACTTGTCATTGTAGACATGCCAGGCTTCAGCATGGGACTTCAGCATATTGTGAGTGGCCTGCACCAATAAAAGAAAAGGGTGTGGTAAATATATACGAATGGCTGTGTATCAGCATGTATTTACATAATATTCATAATATTGCCATCACCTTATAGGAGGCAACCACGTAGTCTTTTAATCCAGGGGCATGCTCACCAGTGCCATACCCAGCATGGCTTACCACCCAGGGGCTACTAAATGTGTTCCAGGTCTTGACCCTGTCTCCAAACCTGGAGAAGCAGAAGTCTGCATAGTCCTTGAAGGCTTCAACAATGGAAGCGTTGGTCCATCCACCATAGTCCTGGAGGGCCTGAGGCAGATCCCAGTGGTAGAGAGTGACAACAGGTTGTATGCCAGAGTCAATAAGAGCATTGATCAGCTTATCATAGTAGAGGGACCCTTTCTCTGATTGACTGGCCCGGTGGCCTGAGGGAAAAATACGGGACCAGGAGATGGAAAACTGGTAGGTGTTGACATGAAGACCTCGCAGGAGGTAGACATCATAATCAACCTTGTGGTAACTGTCACAAGCCAGATCAGCTGTGTGATTGTCAAAAACCTTGTTTTCATGACCAAAACGGTCCCAAATGGTTTCTCCCTTCCCATCTTCTAACCAACCACCTTCAACCTTAAAGGATTCACTGGAGGTGGCCCATTGGAAGCCTGGGGGGAATGATTCGTTGAGGAAAAGATCTCGTTCTGTTGTCGTCTGGGCCCCAAACTTATTCCACACATTCTGATAACTATTTCTAAATGCTGTAATTCCATTGTAGTCTGAAAAACCACTACTGTTGGGAAAGAAAAGGACATAAAACAATGTAAACATACATGAAGCAAACGTACATATTAAACATATTAAGCTGTACTGAACTGTTCATTTCATTTCAACATAAATTGTTACCTGGTTAGGATGTCCTGCATGTCCATCTTATGCAAAATATCCATCATGTCACATCCCACAATAGCCAGGTCATTGTTGTTCAAGACTGTGATGCATGCAAGAGAAAGTAACAGTTATCTGATCAACATTGATGAAATATACAGGTAAAAATATTCCTTTTTGTTATATAGCTAAATGTTAACATCAACTTGCTAACATGCTGACAATGACAATGCTAACATGTTGATGCTAAGAAGGTTCAACATCTTAGTATCGCATGTTAACACGCTAACATTTGCTAATTAGCACTAAACACAACATACTGCTAAGGCTAATGGGAATATCATTAGTTTGGCAGGCATTTGATCATAAAATATAAAGTAGGTTATGAGACAAAATTACATTTTGATCAAAATGGCATGCGAATGCCAATCTATCCAATAGTCCAAGATATTTCACTCAAAAAACACAAATCACTCAAATGGCAACCTCATGGTGGCGCTAGAGGGAAAGTAAGGGGATCACCAATTTCAGTAGGATACATCCTCTGGATACCATTAAATGTTTGTACAAAATTTCATGTCAGTCTAAGCAATAGTTGTGTGATATTTCAGATACAACAATAACAACATCAGCTTTAAATCCTACATTCTTCACAAATTAACGTTAAAAATTTCTTTCCACAGTCAAGTGGATTTGACTGTTTACATTAAACAGTATTGCCTGCTAAACACATTAAGTTGTGTTTTATGGATTAACTTGTAAATACAAAAGTAAGTCCCATGGCTGTGCTCCACCATCCCTGTGATTTTCCTTGTAAAACTTCACTGGACCACAGCAAGAAGAATTTTAACTAATCACTGCCATAAGATAAAACTCCCAATAAAATTAAATGATATTGCAATTTACAACAGGCTAGCCTTGATGAGGTTGTTAAATATGATGTTAAACACGGAAAATGAGATAACAAGGCAAAAAAATACAGAAACTACTAACCACCATGCTGCAAAAAGTGACAATAAGTCAGCTGTAATGACATTTACCTTGTAGAAAATGGCCAAGTAGCTGGAATTGACTGTAGGAGCAACTATCAACAGTCACCTTGTATATCAGGATTGGCAAATTGCCACTGGACATCTACAGCATAACATAAAATGCATGTGGCTGCAGTGTGATAGTAATACAGAATACGAAATGCAAAGTGAAAAGAAATATATTTTAATATTTACTGTACCTGCAAGCTGCTCAGAATCTTTTCAAAGTCTGATGCAGAGGCACAGTTATATTCAATGTGCACTGACAAGAAATCCATCTGTAAAATAGGAGATAGAGCACAGTATGCCATCACACTCAAGTCAGCTGTAGTACCCTGCGTAGAGCAAGCACAGGCACTTGAAGGAGTAAAAGAGCTGTGGTGGCCTCTGCCAGTCAGAGGAGGAGGCGTGTGTTAGTGAAACAGAGGGTAAGCATGGATTATCATTTCAACAGGCTGTTTCTCTTCTGCAAGAACAAATTAAAGGAACTCTGATTAATTTTTTTTTAAATTAACCATTCGCGTGTTTTAAACCAAAAAATGTTTGATTTTTAACAAAGCACTGGTCCAAAGCACATTGCCTTGTCTACCACAGACAGTCTTAAAAATTAATGGTTGTTCCTAAAAGTTTGCATTCAGACCCCATAAATGTGTGTGAAAAATGTTCATAGGTCTCTCTGCAATTTGAGTGCCTTCAGTGAAACTCCTAAATCCAAATATGTATAGTAGATAGTCAAAAATATAGCCTGAGTATAAGCCAAAAAATTATATGCTATATGTATGTATAAGTGTATTGCTTAACACATTTTACTTACATTAATACAGAATTGAAAATTGACATAATGTCCACAAAAGTGATGGTAAAACTTTCCATAAATATAATATTGAAATTTATTTTTATGTTGCTTTTTTACTATTTTCAAATGGTTTTCATTTGGAGCTTAATTGCAATAGCACCAAAACTTTTTATATAAAGCAAGATGAAGTTGTTTAGAAGATACGTATGAATAAAAGAATAGAAGATGCAGCTTACTGTAGTTAAACCTTTGATCTGGGGAAGAACTTCAACATCACTAGCTCTCAACCCAATTGACAGACGTCTCCCTGTGAATGTAAAGGCACATAAAATACATATAATACGTAAACATTTCCACCAACTGAGGAATGTGTGGCAGACTTCAGTTTGTTTTCAGCTGAGCATAAATAGACCTTTTTTTACTGTGGATATTTTGACAAAGCGTAGGTGTGAATAATAAAATGATCGCTGAATTCCATTTAACTGCATCAATTTAAGGGTCCTATTGGCTCCAGCCCCCCCATGATCCTGTACACAGGGAAAGCGGTTGACTATGCGTGAGTGAGTGAGTGAGTGAGTGAGTTTAAGTGTCCTATGTTTTTTTTGGTGCATGCTGTCTGAGAAGTCACAACGTTGGCTGGGACAAGGGCCTATTGGCCACAGCTCTACAGTGATGTGTGCATAGTTCTTTTATTGATCTCACCTGTATTGATTATTGAGAAACACATGATAATCTACACTTCATCTTTGCCATCTCATGAGTTGAAGGGTTTCAGATTATCAGTCAAGTAATCATTTTACAAGTTATTTCTCAATACATACTAAAAAGACAATACATGACTTAACATATTAATGCTTAAATATTTAATTTATATTTTAAATGATTAAGGGTGACAACAAATAATTCTTGTTCAATCTAGCTATTAAAACACAGTAACAAATGACCAATCCTGAAAAGGGGAACTATGTCAATAAATCAAATCTTTAAAAATCTCCTCCTTTTCTGTCTTACTTACCTTTGTCTGGAAACTGTTGATGGTAGAGCTGGTAAATGTTCTCACTGAGTTGGAGTACATTTTGCAGAGGACTGGAGCACCTGCAGGCTGCCCATCATGCCAAACTTCATCCAAGTCACTCATTGTAACCCATGAGTCTGCCAGGGCTCCAAACTCCTGGAAGGCAAACTCAGCATACTGCTGAAACAGCTCTACCAGCTCCTTGCTCTCCCAGCCTCCAAACCTTGATCTCAGAACTTCTGGCACTGTGGATCCATGAAGGACGACCAGAGGCTGAAGGCCCACCTCCAGCAGCTGTTTCAGCAGGGTCTGGTAACAGGTAACCACAGTCTGCTGAGGCTGGCTGGGGAGGCCTGTAGGCAGGAGTTGAGCCCATGACAGCGGCACTTTGAAGTGAGTCACCCCTCTGCTCTGGAGGTACTTAAAGTACTGGTTAGAGCCTGGAGGTATGGCATGGCTGCAGTCAAAGGCATCATTCACTGCACTGCTTGTGCTTCTCACCAGCTGCTTTGTTAGAGGGCCTGCAACAAGCATGAAGTCCTCCTGCCCATTTAGCTCACTGCTCCGGCACCCATACGGACAAAAAACATACAGACACACAACCCAAAATAGATACTTCATTGTGGCTTGCAAAGGATGGACTGCTATTATCCACTCAAAGCCAAGCTCTTTAAAGAAATACTGTTGTCTCATTATTACACTGTTAAACAATTAAGATCAATATCACATCCAAGCGGTGCAAATTACAGTGTTTTATTGCAGCTGTGTGATACGGTCAGAAAGACTCTGGACTCACACATGTCAGGTCCCTCTCTTGTACTCATGTTTGAAGACCATAAAATATGTAGTCGCGAAATGCAGTTTTTTTTTCATTAGGAACCTACCGGTGCCCCTCTGAATTGATTCTACACTTCAACAAACCTAGTGAGGGAAAAACAGAGTGACACTGATGCTTGTATGTTGTTCTTCAAATGAGTAAATGTAATGTAATTGCAGTGGTGTGTTTCTCTCACCAGCTATGTTTCTCTTGTTAATTTCAGACCAACTCAAGTAAGTGGCAGCTATCACAGTATCCACTATAAGCTATCAACTGACCCACTCTTGTATGTAGTTTATGTATGCAGAATGAGTGTGGAAATATAAGAAAATGGAATAAATAAAAGAATAAATAAGTACATTTTTAAAAAGTGGAAATATAAAGACAAGTAACAACACATAAAAGAATAATATCAGGTTGACATGCTAATTCCTCTTTATACTAGGCCTATGAGGACTATAAGAACAAACAATTTTGGAAGTGTTGTTTTGTAGTTAAAATTTATGGTTGTTGGTTTTTGTTCCACTGACACAGCATTTGTTAAGGTAATGAGATTTATTACTGGCTATATAACACTTACTCACGCTGTATCTTGAATGCCCAAAGAAGTAGAGGTGATTGCATCCATGTAGAGTGCTGCAAACAAGAAGCATTCTTTGTGTTGTCTGTAAAAGACGTTAGATAATGAACACACAAAAACCTCCCCTTACATACACAAACCTTTTCATGACAGCTGAGTTTTGTTTAGTTCATTTAGATTTGTTGCACACTTAAATGTGATTAAGGCCGAGTCTGTACCTGGTTACATTAATGGGCGATTCTTACCAACAATGTCTTCCAGCTCCTTGTAGGATGTATGATGATGTTCCCCTTTCAGTCGATCATACAGGGATCCATGTATAGTCTGTGCAGATGTGCTGCACATTTCCAGAGGGGTTGGCATGAATATATGACCTGCTGTGCATTTGTGTTATTCCATGCTGATTACAAGTTTATGATAGGACCCCTGCATACAGCAATGTAAATTATAAAACTCTGGTCTGACTGAAAGTTCAAGCTTGTAAACAGTGCTATTTTAAAAAGTTAGCCATCCAGTGGTATCTCCAGAGCAGAGGGGTGACTCACTTCAAAGTGCCGCTGTCATGGGCTCAGCTCCTGCCTACAGGCCTTCCCAGCCAGCCTCAGCAGGCTGTGGTTACCTGTTACCAGACCCTGCTGAAACAGCTGCTGGAGGAGGGCCTTCAGCCTCTGGTCGTCCTTCATGGATCCACAGTGCCAGAAGTTCTGAGATCAAGAAATGTAGGGTGGGAGAGCAAGGAGCTGGTTAAGATGTTTCAGCAGTATGCTGAGTTTTGTTTGGAGAGTTTGGAGAGCTGGCAGAGACCTGAGTGAGCCTGAAGCAACAGTATTTATGAGTTGGGAGTGAGCAGCTTGGATGAGCTGGGGATGCTGAGCATCTCAAAGTCTTGCACACACCAGTGTCTTCTGATACCACAACCAACTGTTTCCAAGGAGAGGTAGGAGATCAATATTTTATTGCATTATGTGCTGAGCTTGGATAACATAATTGGACAGTTGCAGCTTGTAGCTGCAAATGGTAAAAATATTAACCAGAAACAAAGAGAACTGTCTGGTCAACCTCTTATTGTTCCCTTTAATTTTTCCATTAAGTAGCTTGAAATAAAAACAAACAATTCCCACACTGTATGATGTACATAACAGTCTTGCTTGTAACTTTACAAATATTCAAATGCAAGAAACATGAAGGGTCCTGCAGGATTACAGAGGTTAAATGCAAAAGACAGACAGTAGCAAAATGTTTGGGATAGTTTTTATTAGAAGTTAGATCGATACTTACTCGGGTTTGATGGATGATACATTAAGAACAGGGATTCTTGTTATTTTTAACACTGACACCAATTACATCCTGTCAGCCTGTATTATTTCCCACCATGACTGTATTGGGAGCAGATTATTTACTCTGTCTTGTAATCACATTTTGGAGGCAATCTTTCTTATCTTCTGTTGTAGTTGTCCAGCTTTATTAGATGTACAGTAATTATGGCGGTGCTTGATGAGATAATGGTTTCCATATCTGTTCACGGCATGTGCCAAAGTTCATGATAAGGGAATAGAGTAATGCGGGGGGAAGGATAGGTAAGAATATGATCTTTCTGTCTAATAGTGGAGGAAAGCTGCAGATTAATTACTAAAATAACACGTTATGTGTTGCAGATGAAGGAGTATCAGTTGCGGTAATTAAGTGAGTAAAGTCCCAATTATCTGTGATACTCAGCTACTTGTGAGATCACACTGTCACAATCAAGTGTTTTGGTATGTAGAAATGTATAAAGTTAACACTCTGCTGCTGGATAGATAAAATCAGTCTTAACTGTCTTACTCTGGGAATTCTGTTGTATGCACTTGTATTAAACATAAATATATTTCCATGTAGGGAAACTGTGGAGACAAACCCATTCTCTTTAATGAGGTGAAAATCAACATAATTTGTCCTTATCAGTTCAGATACCAGAATCTTAGGTAAAAGGTTCTCTATAACGATCAATCAAGAGACACAAAAATAGAAACATAAATTGCTTTTGCTAGCTCACTAGGAACTATAAGCATGCTTCAAATTCATGCTTCAAATTCAAACACACATTCACATTTGTGAAGTAATGTGAAGTAGTCATATTCAGTCATTTATTAATTTAAAACCTTTACTTAATTATTTCATGTAATGAAAAATGTCATCATAGATTGTAATAGAACAATGTAGGATACATGCATTATATAATAAATTCTCATACTTTTACAGCACTGAGCAATGGAGACCAAAGCGTTCTTGGATTTGACATGGTGGACATATTCAGTCCAGCTGACACTATAGCCAAGAAGGATTTAATCACAATATATCCTGACCCACCTCTGTGAAAATTATTATTTGTACATATGCCTGATACTATTTCTTCCATTCAGATACCACAAGGTGGATTATGATGCCTACCTCCTGCGAGGTCTTCATGTCAACACCTTCCAGTTTTCCATCTCCTGGTCCCGCATTTGCCGATCAGAGAAAGCGGGTCACTACAATGATAAGCTGATCAATGCCCTCATTGACTCTGGCATACAACCTGTTGTCACTCTCCACCACTGGGATCTGGAATACTAAAGCAGACGGCGACAGGACTGGTTACGTTTAAGAGTCACTCCTCAAATGTTGCACCCTTTGTGGCAAAAATGTACATGCACATTAAAATTGCTATAAAATCACTATACATTGATATTCCCTTAAACTACTTCTCCACTGCTCAAAAATACCAAACATTTAATAACTGTCAGGATTTTAACCCTTTAAATGCCAGTTTATTTATTTGAATTCTTTCATTATTTATTAAAAAAAACACAAACATTGAATTATTTTCCATAAAATAAATAGTAGGGGGATGGGACTTTGGTGGTTATTAGTGTCTTGGATATGTCAGAGATTAGCAACAAAATTTTATTGATTGCATTAGTATTTTTATGTAGGGTCAAATACTGCTGTTAAATCCTCATACATCAATATTCTTTTCTGCTGTTTTCATAAATAACTCAAAGAATTTCAAACCTGCTCAAAACTACCAAACATTTAAGAGGTTTATTCACAAACACAGAGCATTTGAGGCAAGGTGTGTCTGGCTGGCCATTGGAGCAGGATTTGGAATTGAGGTCCAGAGTCCGAGAGTTGCTGGCAGGCTTACCTGGCTGAAGCTTGCCCTTCAACAACAGTGATGGTGGCTGCACCTCTGGTCCTCAGGTGGTGGGGGCGACTTCCAGGCACATGTGGACCCTTTATGGTCTTCTACAGCTTCTGACTAGATCTATTCTACATCCTGGGGACTTAGAAGGCTTCTAAACTACATTTACCAGTAAGCAGAGTATTTGAATGTTACCAAAGTTCCCATGCACATAACTGGGAATGGTATGCCTACTGAGTGCAAAGGAGAGACTCTCAATGACACCCATTGAGGAGAATAAATCAAGAATGAATATGTGAAATGGGATCAACGGGACTCGAGATTAATTTGGCTTCAAACATTACACTTCAGGGTTGATTTGGGAAATCAGCAGGATTATGAAGGGAACAGGTAGACTGACATTTTAAATATGACACCTAGATAACTTGGGTGGAGCAGTGAACTTGACTGGCATCCACAGAACGCACAACTATGAAGACTACATTGAGCAGAAGCCCTGAATAACAGAGTCAACAGTCTAATTAAGTCAAGTTTTTAAGGTATGTACATGCTAAATGTAGCCATTACTGTTGATATTTCAGCCCATGTTCTGGACATTCCTAATCTTTAATGGACAACTCTTAAGTGGCTACTTGGCTGCTTTTCTTTGTGAACCGCTCCAAACCCACTTGCATCCCTAAAAACTAACCCAGACCCGGCCCTAGGGAAACATAATGCTAAGTCCACATATTCAAAAACAATGTAATCATTGTAGGTTTTAGGAGAGAAAACTTGCTCTAGATTTACATTCTGAAGAGTGGAAATAAACTTGTAATAGCATGCAGAACATACATTATGAAAGCATTTCTTTTGTGTGTCTTGTGCATGTCTTTTAACTGCTACACCCACTGTGACCACACTGAAGTAGAAGTAGTAGTAGTCTTTGTATTTCCACTGGTAAGTGTACTTGGTATCATCTTTGTTGTTCAGCTCCTGAAAACAAGAAGGAAGTTAAATGGAGCAACAGTGGAATTTTGGAAAGAAGTGAAATCTGACTAACACACATGACATTTTTGGCGGCTTCT